CTATCTTAACTTAAAAAGGCTAAGATTTATATCCTTAATATTAATTATTTTAAAAAGCTTAATCTTTTTATTTTTAATAAATATATAAATTTTGCTTATAAGGCAAAACTTATATTAATTAATAATAATAATTCTTTAAATATTAAGTTTAAAGGGTTTATTTATAACCTTAATTAAAATATTATTATTAAAACTTTGCTACTTAAATTTTCTAACTTTAATAATAATAAAGTAAGCCTTATAAAATCTTTTATTATAAAACTTTAGCAAAAACTTAAAGAAATCTTTTGCTAAATTAAAAAGAGTTTTAAAGATAAGCAAGGTTAAAAGAAATTTAAAGTTAATGAAAAAGTAATTTAAGTTTAAGGTATATTAATATTTTTCTTTATTATATAAATTAAATATATTATATTTAATTATTTATATAACCTTACTCTTAAAATATCTCTTTTATTTAATAAAGAAATTACTATTCGTAATAATACTTTTATTAATAAAAAAAAGATAAGTTAAATTTTTTACCTAAAATATATATATTATTTTTATATTATATAAAGTATAAAGATTAATATCTTATAGGTATTTTAACTTAGAAATTAATAAAGACTTTATTAATAAAAAGGATAATAAGTAAGTATTTTTATATATATTTTTATATATATATATATACTTATAAGCTAATATTATTATAAGAGCCTTAATAAGGCTTCCCTTCCAACCTTAATCCATTAACCCTTAAAATAATTAATAGCTAATCTTAATACTTAAATTTAAGAAATAAGAAAGGCTATGGAAAAGCAATCTTTTAAATATACTTTAAATAGAAATAATATCTTTAATAAAATATTCCTATTACGCAAACTTTAATAAAAACGCTTTAATAAAAAGCAATAAATTAAATATATATTAATATAAAGGTATAATTATTAATATTAATATTTAATAATAAGCTTAAAAAAGAGAAAGCTATAAATTACATTAATATATCTAGTAATATATAAGTTTATATATTTAAATATTATATTTAAATATACTAATATTTAAATATAGGTTTAAATTAAATAAGGAGGAGGATAATGCAAAGGAAAAGCTAGCCGCCTAAGATAAGTAAGTCTATATATTTAAATATTATATTTAAATATATTAATATTTAAATATAAATCTAAATTAAATAAGGAGGATAATAATGCAAAGGAAGAGCTAGCCGCTTAAGATAAGTAAGTTTATATATCTAAATACTATATTTAAATATACTAATATTTAAATATAAGTCTATTAAATAAAGTAGCTAAAGGGCTAAGAAACCATCCTTATAATAAATATTCTTTTAAAAATAAAAGCTTAAATATTAATAATTATATATTTAGGCTAAGAAATAAAGTTAGGGATAAAATTATTATTTTTATAATTAATTCTTATAAGAAGAAAAGGAAAAATTCTTATCCTACTTTTCCGCAAAATTATTTATTTTAATTACATTATATAAATAAATAAAGGATTCTATAATTAATAAAAGTATATTATAAACTTTTATATTTAATATATTAAATTAATTATTATATAAAATATAAAGTATAATAATTAAGAAGCAATGCAAACTTTATATATTAGGCTTTTTATATATAAAGCTTATTTTAGCTATATTTAAACTCTTAACTTAAAAGCTACCCTTTATTATAAATATTTATATCTTAAAATATTTATATTATATATATTAATATTTAAATATAAATAATATACTTATTAAAATAAAAGGTTAATTATTATAATATTTAGCTTAGCTTTAAAAATTACTAAGATATTATAAATATAAGGTAGTTTATTTAAATTAAATTATTATCTTATAAAATACTTTCCATATATTACTTAAAGTTATAATTATATTTTTATATCTTATTATAATAACTTAGGGCTTAGCGGCTAGTAGCTAAAGGCTTAAGGTATAAAAGGAAAGGATTTAGCCCTTAAAAAACTATTAAAAGGGTTAAGAATTAGTCTTAATAGCAATTAATACTTATAAATAGCACTATTTTTATTTACCCCTTAATACCCATTATGCCTAGTAACTATATACATTATACTTATATTTATATCTTTAAAAATATAAAATATTATATTTATATTTATATTTATATTTATATTTATATTTATATTTATATTTATATTTATATTTATATTTATATTTATATTTATATTTATATTTATATTTATATATATATATATAAATATAAATATAAAACAATATATATATAAAGAAAGATAAACCCTTTTAAATCTTTATTTTCCTTTTTATATAAAACTTAATAAAAAATATAAGTATATATAAAAAAAATAAGTAATTTATTATTTATTTATAAATTTAAAATAATTAATAAAATACTTAATAAGATACTTAATAAAATAACTAATAAAATATTTTATTAAATATTTAATATAATATTTATTAATTTATTAATTTATTTATTTATTTATTTATTTATTTATATTTTATATTCTTTTTAATTATTTTAATTATAAGAATATAAATTACTTATATTTAAATTTAAATATAGATATAAGTATAAATATAAATAAAGATATAAAATATTATATTTATATTTATATTTATATTTTTATATTCTTCTTATATTTATATTTATATTTATATTTATATTTTAATTTTATATTAATATTTATATTTAACTATTAATAATTAAATAAAGATAATAAATCCTTAATAATAAAAATAATATTTATATTAATAATTAAAACTTTATTACATTTAATTATATATATAATATATTATATAATATAATATGCATTAAAAAGATTAAAAAAGTAAAAAAATAAAAAAATTAAAAAAGAAAAAGAATTTTATTTCTTAAGCTATATTTATAAAAAAGCTAACTTTAATATATTTATTTAAAATTAACTTAATAAATAACTTAACGCAAGTAATAATTAGCAGCACTTATATTTCCAAAGCTTTAAGTTTAACTTATTAATAAATAAATTTAAAAAAAAGAAAATTTTAAAATATTACTTAAACCCAAGGTTATATACCTTATTAATCTTAATTTAATTAAGAATAACCTAATTATTTAAAAATATAAGATAAAAATAAATAATGCAACTATTATTTAAAATCTTATAATTAATATAACCAATATAATTAATAAAAAGCATATAAGTATAATTTTAATTTATTAATAATATAATTTTAATAAAAGATAAAAGGCCATCCTTAAAAAGCTTATTAAGATAAACGGCAATAATGTTTATATTTATCTTTATAATAAGTTTATAAGTAAGGTTAATTTAATAAAGATTATTTAAAAGAATTTAATAATGCTATATAAAGTTTTAATCGCTTTATATAAAACGAAGGTTAATAAGAAATGCTATTATTATAAAAGTTATAAATATAAGAAAGATTTAATTTATAAATATATTAAGGTTTTTAGCATAAAGGAGATAAATTATACTTAATGTTAATATAAATGCTGGGATTCTTATATAGCTTAAAGTAGCTGCATAAAAATACCAAAATAGATTTGTTAATATAAATTAAAAATCGATCGCAATAATTTAATAATAATTCTTTTTTTAATATTTAAATATAAAACAAGGTTAATTAATATTTAAATATAAAACGAGGTTAATTAACATTTAAATATCATATTTAGATGTTAAGTAAGGTACAGGGATTAAGGTTACTTGACCGCATACCTCTGTCTTGATTGATACATGTGCTCTGCTCCGGCCCTCGCATGGGGGAAGATATACCGTTGTTGAGCAAGGCTTGAGAGTGCCTGTGGACTCTTCAGAGAAGCTCAGTTACAGCCCAGAGCAGGAATTTCTTTTTAACCACATGGAAGATTTGGACACCTTCGTTTTGATTTAGCCTAGTAGCAGTAGAGAGATCTAACTATGCCTATGAATAATATTTGATATGAGCCTCTCCAGTTACACTGGCATATAGGCTGTTAAATAAGTAGAAAGTCCTTCTGAGATACGTCTATACCTGACCAAGAATACTTAAGGCTTACTAGGGGACCCATTACTGAATGGCGCATTGCAAGTGTTCAATGTTCAGCGGGTGATCTGCCAGACAAGGCACCCAAAAGTTTATCACCACCAGTTAGTATATCCTGTGTTCTACTAGTATGCTTTGGCCGGGTCCCATTCTTTAGATTAGCCTAATTGCCATGAGGAGGGTGTTCCACTTGCCTATCTCAAGTCTGGGAGACCCACGCTGGTTGTTCCCCGTCACATCTTGTCGAGTGAGATACACCCTGGCGATAGTTCACCATCCCTCGTCCACGTGGTCAGCTAGAGGCTGTACAGCCACTTTTCCCTCCTTTTTCTCTACCAGAATCTACGATGAGACAACCTCAAACATTCGAAGAGGACATAAGGCAAGTAAAAGAGGCATTCACAAGATCTTCTTGATTGTCTGGGTCGGACTTTGAGCTGGGACACTGTAATCTGTGACAAGTCCTTCTATGGGAGTATGTACCTCCGGCTGTCAGATAAGCGACGTGTTTTGTGTTCGTCGTGATATGATTCTGCCCGGTCCCAACTGAGTGAAGATTCAGAAAGTTTGAATATTGAAGATCAATGGTACCTTCGCGAAATCACGTGGAACATTCTTTCGGTAACACAGACTTCATGCATAAATTACATCCAAGTCGTCTAGCGTAGACACTCTGGAATTGGGCTGCTGCAATACTTCCCGAAGTGGCATTTCTGACTGTTATTGGCCGTGGAGACTATGCTGCATGCGCTCTAACATTGAGGAACATGTAAGGTTGCCATTGGTTGCCTCGTGCTCTTCGCATCAGAACTCAACTATTGGTTCGCGTAGCTCGTTAATTTAATTCCTTCACATGTTCGTAAGCGACCCCGCTTGGTGTCGCCTCAGTTTCCCTCACCATCGTACGCCTCTCCTCTTCTATCGCTTCTTTCTCGTCGCCAAGGTCCACCTTGACTCTCCGGCTGGCGATTGATTCCGAGCTCCAATGTCTGGTCTCGAAGGCATCGCGGCCCTCGGCCTCGCATGCAACATCCTCCAGTTGATCGGCACTGTCGCTGATTCTATCACTGTCGCTAAGAACATGCTCAAATCGGGCACAATTGACCCTGCCTTGGAACGCCGAAATGACGAGCTGACGAAGCTTTTCCAAGACGTGAAAGGGTCTTTGAGCGAGGTGCCTGAACGCGAGGATGATAGGGAGCTTCGAGACGTGGCAGGACACATTTTGAAGACAGCCGCTGAATTGAAGATCGAATTGGCGAAAATATCGGGTGGTTCATCGCAAGGGTGGGCCCGGAAAGTTATTGGAGGCATTATCAAGGCCATTTTTAGGCAGAAAAAGCTCGAAAGGTTGGAAGAGAAGGTCTTGGCATATCAAAGGGCATTTGAATCGCGGCTACTTCTCAGTCTCCGGTATAGCTTGCCTTATCTCTCAAAGCAGTCGTGTATTGGAAGGCTTGTTAACGCGAACACGCCAGGAGTCGAATTGACCTCAGCGCCCTCCAGCGCAAAGATGACTTCAACAGACTTGACAACTCTCTACAAGGCTTCATCAAAGGTTTATCGAATGGCCACACGAAACTTGAAGATCTTCTCAGAGATCAATCCAGCACCCTCCACGAGATTTCTACCACAATGCAGGCTGTGGTTCGAAACATGGACAGTAGAGAAAAACAGGGATTCTTGTACAGCCTTCGATACGACACGATGAACGAACGCTTCAATCGGATTGAACTTGCTCACTCTGGAACCTTTGAATGGATCTTCAGGCAAGACCCCGAGAGCGACGAAGACACCGACATCGGAAGTGGCCGTGGTGTCAGAGAAGACAGTGCCGGACGTCAAGGCTCTGGATATTGTCCTGACTTTGATATTCCTAGCTTTGTTCAATCCGACACTGACAACATCTACTGGATTACCGGGAAACCAGGATCGGGAAAGAGTACGCTGATGAAATTCATGATTGACGACCCTCGCATGCAGAGCCTTCTCAAACAGGTCTTTCCAGCTTGCATGAGTATCATTGCGTCTCACTTCATTTGGGCTGCTGGTACTTCAGTTCAGAAAAGCCTCAGAGGCATACTGTCCTCCCTGCTATTCCAGATTCTCAGCCAGGACAAAGTAGCGCTGGACAGTTTGGCGTCGCAGTTCCTAAACAAGCCTCAACGGCTATCTTTGAATGATTGGTCCGAGCATCAACTGAACGAAGCTCTTCAAATGGTTTGCAGTGATTCACGGAACGCCGTCTGCGTATTAATTGATGGCCTGGATGAAATCGAACCAAGGGATATCCAGAAAATCCTGAATGTCATCGATGATCTTTCCACGCTACCGTACACGAAGTGTATCGTGTCCAGCCGGCCCGAAGAGATATTCAGTCGCCACTTCACCCGACGAGGAGCTAGATACTTAAGCATGCAAAACTTCACGGGATCAGATGTCCGACGATACGCCACGGAAGAAGTCAACCAGTGGATTGACGACTCTGAACGCCTCAGAGACGTTGTGAACATCCTTTGCCGCAGGGCAGAAGGGGTGTTCTTGTGGGTGGCTTTGGCAGTCAAAGGCCAACGACTTGGCGCGGTATACAAGGACGGTCCTGAATTGCTCGCTCGTCGCCTTGAACAATTACCGATGGGTCTCTCTGAGCTCTATAGCGACATGTGGAATCGTCTGAATGAAGACAAGGACATCTACGGGGAGCAGGGCGCCAAGTATTTGAACCAGATGATGGAAATGACACCGTTTGGAGACCACTTATGCATGGCTTTTGCAACACAACCTGCACTTGTTCGGAAGTCCTTTCAGCCCTCCAGTCTTGCTTTCCTGGATGAATTGGAAGACATTCTGGAAGATCTTGTTGTATGGATAAGAGTCCGAACGGCGGGCTTGATCGAGACCGAAACCGGCGGGTACCCTAGAGAGATCGAATTCGTGCACAGATCTGCGGTCGAATTCTTGGAAAACACCGCTAAAGGGTTGGAGATTACTAGTTTGGACAAGACAACTCTAGCAGAGCGAAGGTTGTCTTTGCTCATCGCCGACTTGGCCATCATTAAATGGAAGTGCGATGTCGAGCGCCTGGGCCGATTCGTTTCGCACAAATATTGCAGAGGCTACCCGCCCCCACGATTCGATCTTTGCGAACGATTGAAGAGTCTTGAATGGGTGCTGAGACGTGCTAGGAACCTATATGAACAAGTCGAAATCGACGGGACTACCTATGTGGAGGTACTCGATCACGCCGCGGCAACACACGAGGCAATCGGGCTTGTGGGAGACAAATATCCGCGTCGTAGGTGCAATCGCTTCTCAACCCGATTCTCAGGCGACTTTCTCGGTTTTATGGCTCGATTGGGTATTTTCGAGTATGTCTCTAAGAAGGTCGAGAATCTTTCGACTGAAAGAAAGATAAGCCCGTCTTACCTCGAGTACATCTGGGCAGAAACTTGCCATGGCATCTTCCAAGCGTGTTCAGGCATCGGTTCTCACATGAAACCAAAGGAAGTCGAACGTCGAAAGACGATGCGTCAGTGGCTGTCCACACTGCAACCAAATCACAGTCTTGATTGCCCTGCTTTTCTCGTAGGCGGCTGTCAGCGCAATACCAGGGGTCTCGTGTGTAACAGATTCCTGGGGACAATCACCGACTTCTGCACTTACCAAGATATCGCCCTGCAGACGGAAGTTTGTGGAACCATCCTCCAGGACGCCTCATCTGACTACCACGCTTTGTTCAAGATTCCATGGTACAATCAAGTGGGGGAAAGGGCCCATTCACTTGTTCGTACAACATATAATGATCATGATCATATCTTTGAGCATCGTGAAGAGTTCAACATCTACGTTGAGATGCCTATCACTTTACTGGTCAAGTTCCATAATGATAGGATTTCATCAGAGGCTCTTTCGGTCGAATCATACGAAGACCTCCTCTTGCATCAACACCCGGCAACAACCAAAGAAACCCCAATGGCACTCGTCATTCAATCCTGGGTAGACATGTCGTACCAATTGAAGGCTTTTAGTACAGCTCCCGAGCAATACTTTCTCTTGGAGGATGAGGAGGACAAGCAGTTCGTCACAACTGCGGTTATGAGGGAATTCGCGCGCGCTGCATGGCGTGGAAGCTTGCGCCTCCAGCACTTAGCCTCGTCATGGTCGTCATGGTCCGCGGCGAAATATTTTGACATTGACAGCCTTGTGATGAACCGGATCAACCAAATTGAATTTCTGAGTAGTCAGGAGACAATGGACTCACATCCCCACGGCGAAGCTCTTTCAAACTTTGTGAGCAAGAAGATTGCCGACAACAGTTTGGAAATGATCAGTCCCGACCAGTTTGACGACATACTGATAGAAAGAGGCCATGCTTTCAAGTCTGCGCCTCATAGCCCGTGGCCACCGGCTGCGTCCGACGAGAGAGCAGGCTTGGTTCCAGGTCAGGCGTCCGACACCAAATTGGACGATACAGACGAGACGACCTCGGAAAACAATGACTTGGAGATATATTGCTGGTCTCTAGGACACGAAACCCACTATGTTTTATTCGACGGAGATTTTCTCCATTCTAATAGAGTAGAAGAACGTCTCGAGACCCTATCGCATGCCATTCAACTACGCGAGTCCAGATAATACACCATTTCCATAATACATTTTTAGGGTTAAATGTGAAGACCAAATGAATATGTAACCATAGAAGTTATTCTAACGAGACAGTTTGAAGAAATGAATTAGTTTCTGACAAAATGTAGATTAAGGTAAGATAGAACTCGCCATAGGAGTAGTGCCACAAGGATGCAGGAGAGATGCCGGTTGTTGGATGCTGTGCCTCCAGCTCTACGCTATCGCTTTCTGAGGGAATGAATTGCCACCCTTGAAGCATAAGGCCTCAATACATCTTCAACATTACATGAGTCTTGATTTTGCCATAGGGCGAGAAGGATGGAAGCACCAGCTGCTGTGTGTCAGCATGATGAAAATCTCCAACCTATGTGGAGCTCACCCATCTGCAGGCGGTAATCCAATTACTACAGGCGTCAAGGTACGTGATCTACTTTGTAGAGTCCTTTGACGAGATATATCTTGATGGTACTTATCTTCATTCATCACGGGCACGGTCGGCTGGGGCATCGGGGGGTAAAAACGAGACACTGCGTTGATAGCATGCAGCTCTCCCCAGCCTGCCGTTTCAAGCCTGCTTCCTTTGCTTCTTCTTTATTGGTTTTTCTCCCGGGAGTGCGGTATTTAAGTCGCATAATCACCAATTATCCCCCGGATGGCGATCCCAGAGACTTGCCCTCCGGGTCGCCCATATCACAGTCGGCAACTACATAAACAGCCAGTTGCCGCTAATCACTTTGCCCGCAAAAGCAATGGGTTTTATCTGGAAGAGGCTATGGCTATTTTCGGGTGCTGGTTGCAATGACCTACCTCTGGTGGACTACACCAATTATTTTGCGTCAGACAAGGTTTCGATCAGGTGACATGCGCACGTTGCAGGTGCTGCACAAAATGAGCGTCAGGCTTGCCCCGAAGGTGCATTAGCAACTGGCTGTCAGGTTTTTGGTACCATTTGCCGACCCTGCCATGGTATTCTGGTGTCTGCGAATGTCTTCGAAATGCCACTTGATGATATTGCTAGACCTATCTGCTAGGTCTTGCTAAGACCGAGCTCGCGTATAAAAGTATCCGCGGCTTTCTCGCCGATCATCCACCACGCCCATCTGCTCCACCGGCGCCATCTTGCACGTGCCGAGGGGATGCCACGTCGTCCCGACGCTCGTGCGGATGAAGTGCTTGATGGCCGCGTCATCCTCGGGCCCGTACTCCACGTCCGTGGCCGCGCCGTCGCCTCCCGCCTTCTTCTCGGGGACAGGGGATGCCTTGGAGCCTTCAGGGAAGGCCGGGTGCTGCCCGGGTAACTCGCCGCCGAAGACAGGCATGCCTCGCGCCACACGGCGTTGCTTCTTGTAAGCCCACACCTGGGCCTTGAGGTCGAAGTCGTCCGGGTCCGAGAGATATTCTGTCTTGAAATCGACGGCGTCGTCTATGCTCGGGCCGGTGATATGCTGTCGGATCATCTTTCATCAGCATTTGCTTTTATGTTCGAGACAATGCAAGGCTCAAGCTTACCACATGGCCGCGTGAGTACGGGTATGTCGTATAGCTGCAGACCGTGAGGTATAGTCCCGGCGGGAAGGGGGTAGGATCCCCAAGGATGCTTTCCTTCTGTTTAGTACGGATACAAGCTTATTCAGGGATCTCACTACTCACCCAGTAATAAGAATCAGCGAGACAAGCGGCTTACTCCGGACATCCTTGACATCTTGATCCCAAGTTTGCCGGAACCTTGGCCCAAGACTGTCGGCTTCAACTTGCGTCGGTCGGATCTTGGCAGAAGCGTCCACGCCATTCCAGCTCAGTATCTTGTCGTTGTTTGCTAGCAGCTCTGGGATCTGCCTGGTCCCGTTGTAGATACTCTCCCAGCTGTCCTCTGGCGGCATTTCAGCCTTGTATGTGTACAGGGACGCCTGATGATCCTGGTAACCGTGGCCCACACCCGGCAGATGGGCTACAACAGGCACACGCGCTTGCTGCAAGACCTCTAGAGCACCGATTCCTGACCTCTCGAGCATGTTCGGGCTTCCGAAGGCACCAGCCGTAACGATGACCATGTTCCTTGCCCTCACTGTCCCGGTGGCAGGCCTCTCGGCAGATCCCTCGGCCTTGAGCTCCGGGTTCGGCCTGAACTCCACGCCCGTGGCCCGTTTTCCCTCGTCAAAGATGATCCGTGTCACCTGCGACCCGACGAGGACGTGAAGGTTCGGATGCTCGCCGTCCTGCAGGCGTGCGCGGCATCCTGGCGCTTGCCGTCTTTGGGAGATACAAACCGGCGCAGGGGCGACACGGCGTTCACAGTCTCGAGGTCCTGTAGGTCCTGGACTTCAGGATACCCTAGCTGCGCCGTGGCGGCGATGAAGTCGTCTCCGACTTCCTTGCCACGGTACAGCCCGCCAGAGACATGCATCGGGCCGTCGTGTCCGTGGCTCTCATTGCCATCTTCACCGTCGTACGTCTCGAACTGTAGTTGCGCACCCCTCAGTTAGCTGCTCAATTACCAACAGGGACTGTCTGGTTTCTTTCCTGGCTACTCAACCTTTTTCAGAAACGACACGACTTCCTTTCCTGACCAGCCTCTGGTATCCCACGAGTCGAAGTTGCAAAGCTGACCACGTTGATAGATCATGCCATTGATAGAAGAACTCCCGCCCAGGAGACCACCCGTGGTCACGACGACCTCCCGGTCTGAGAGCTGTGCCTCCTTGCGGCTCTTGTAGTGAAAGGCATTGGCAGTGCCGGGCATAAGAGTGGCCCGGCAAAGTGCTGGGTTAGTCACCGTAGGCAGGCCAAAGTTGTCCTGGCCGCTCTCCACCACGAGAATAGAGAGCTGCTTGTCTGCATCTGCCAGCCTGGAGGCGATGACACAACCTGCGGTACCACCTGATCATGACAACATTTTGTATTAGCGACAGACAGCCGAGAACAACACCTGAGGGTGTGCATTGACTTACCGCCAGCGATGATTACATCCACCTCTAGAATCGAGTCAGTCAGCTCTGTGTGTAACCCCATTTTCTGATTGACGTTGGATATGCTCAAGGGTGCAGTGACACAATTTGTAGGGAGGATGGGCACACTTGGCCGTGCATACAAAGAGAGTACAAGACGGAAAACAACTTGTATTTGTAACCACGGGCAGTTGGTTGTCAGTTGGTGCAAGCAACTACCCCTCATCGGAGAAACGTATTGGTTTAAAAAGTTAAAAAGCCCGAACGGAACTTTTGTTAAAGGCTGGCTGAAAATGGCCACTTGTTGCACCTGAGAGCTGCGCCGTATTTGCCCAGACTACAACAGCAGGCACCCGCCAACACCCACCCACCAACGCCAATAGGACAGATTTACTAACCAACAGGTGAGTGACAATTTTTTGTTGGCTGTTGGCCGATGGAGCCAGTGTTACAACGCGCAGCAACGATGATCGTGGCACGAAGCTCCCCTCTTTCCCTCCGCATGAAAATAAACCTGTCTTTTTTCACAATGTGAGAGGCCTTATGCACATGCCCAGAGAATGGTATCACACCGATGGCGACCAGCAATGCAAACACGACTTCATATGTCCCCGACTTGTAGCCAAAGCATGCACAACATCCCGTGCTGACGTGAGCAGGGAATGTCCAGTCTCGCCATTTTGGCTGTATTGGCTCATGCGTTGTATCTAGGTTTACTATCGAAGAGTGTCGCAGAATCTTCATTCAGGCCTTTGATACACTACTCGGGAGACCGTGTAATCAGAATAACAGCAGACTGAGTCTTGTAGTGGATCAACAACAGTGCTGGGCTCTGGAAACCTCTTACCACGCATTTTGAGAATGGTAGGCTGACAACAAACAAGACGTGTGAAATAACAGGACAGCATGGTATCTCAATCTTCTAGGACCCAGTGTCCTTGTTGACACAGCTTGCTCCAGGACAACGGTACTCTTTTGACGGACCACAGTTCCAGGTAAGAGGTTGGAGATTGTGACAAAAGCCCTAATGGGCAAGCTCGCACGCCTCATATACATCGCGGCCGAGGATATCGACGAGAACAAGTGCCCGGCTGACTATGGCCTCGATTCGCTGATTGCGGTTGAGACGAGAAACTGGATCACTTACGACTTCAAGGCCGATGTAACTGTTTTCGACATCTTGAGCGGGAAGACGATAAAGGCGATTACGGAAATGATCGTGGAGAAGAGCAAGTTTGGGGGACAGGAAGAGGAATAGTACTTGGCTAGCAAAAGCGGAAGCATTTCCGCTAGATTATGAGAGCCTCGTTAGGCGGTGGTGCAGTGGGCAATGTACAGGTGTAAGTAAAATTATTCAAACGGTAGAGTCCATGTATCTGCATATGCCCTTTCACAGATCGCACTTTCTGCAGACGTCAGGCAAGCATTTCGTTCTAGAGGTTTTGAGAGCAGTTCTATTTCGAGGATTTCAATGCACGTCCTCAATTTACAGTTTGAGATGATGTTCTTCAAAAAGCGGGCAGGTGCCGAGACGCCAACTTGAAATGGCTCCCGTGATGAACGATGATTATGCCATCATCTTATTTCTTCGATGGTGGCAGATTCCCTCATCGTAGAGCTAATGCACCGTTTCGTGTTCTTCCAGCGCAGCGCCTGATGTCGAGTCATAGTCTTCTCATGGAAATCTTCGAACACAAACTTTCGCATGAGCTTCGAAGTGGTGTTTGAAGAGTAACTTGAAGTTATTGGAATGCTTTTTCAATGTTCATATCAGTAATTATAAAACACAGGTCAAATATATTATAGCTTTATTAAGGTTAAGTTGCGTTTATTTATACATATAATCTACTTATATTAATTATTAAGGTTTAAAGGAAGAATAAATGGAACTATTTAATGTATATAGTGGTGGATTCTCTGCGTTTGGGTTTTAAAAAAGAAAAAAAATTAATCACCAGGGTCATCTAAAAGTGGATAGGGAAATCGAGACTTGTACATTTGCTAAAAGATCTACAATGGACCAGCGACCTTCAACCTGTTTCTTTGTTCTCGCAGTGGTACCAGATTGATGTGTACTTTCAATTTCTTTGAAGCCCCCTCTCAAGTGGTCCCATTCGGAATGATCTTAGATCTAAGAAGCAAGTAGAAGTAGCTGTCCGTGCGAGATAACAAGCTTCTATCCTTCTGTATTGATATAAGACAACGAGGGGCCTCAGTTGTCTCACCAGGTATACTAACCATGGTGGGCATCTTTTCCTGGCTCAGAAGGCCCGTTAGGTCAGAGATAGATCGATTCTCGAGGAAGAAATCCTGAAGCCTTTCCAGGTAGCCTGCAGATTCAGTTGGCTCGGGCTCTTTATCGATGTATTTCATCAAATCCGAGGTGCTCTCATACAAGGCATAGCTGAGCCTCAACTCAGCCCCATCCCACTGCAGGCAGATCACCAGGCCGATTTTGGTGGAAGTATCAGCGCTAGGGCCCACCTTCACCCTGATTAGATGGATACCGACAAACTCTTCGGCGACATTTGTTCGGAAGACAGCCCCGCCAAAAGGATTCGCGCGTTCCTCCGTCTCCAGGATGGCCCTTAGTCGAGTCGAAGTTGCCTGTTGCAATGAGTTGGCCGTCGGTCCTGTCTCCGTGTATGCCATATCAGGGACTCCATGGCGTGCTTCAATCAACTTTGCAATGTCCTGATCGTATCGGACAACAACGACGTTCTCCAACAAGGCACTTGTCCTCTTGATCTCAGCTGGAAGAAGCCGAGGCTGAATATAGATAGGCTGAGTGACCCTTTCCGGCGCCTTTCCCCAGAAATGCTTGGAAGCACTCGCATGAACCATAAACGGTCTCGTTCGTATGTAGGTGAGGCCGAATCTTTCCAAGTAAATCCCCATCCATTCCACCGAGCCGTCGTCATGTGAATGCCGCAGGCAGTTCAGGCCAAGAACAATATGGTTGAGATGAGTGGTTATGTGCGCACCGCTGAGACGAAGACCAATATTGGTCATTGTCATTTCCTCCATATAAGTGAGTTTAGCCCTGTGCATTCGCAGTGTAGCACATTTCGAAAAGTTTGCCGGCGACTCAGCAAAGATACCGGAGTACTGATTGTCGTTCTGCCAGGTTTCCAAATCGTCGCCGCTGGAAACTGCCTGATTGCTGCTGTACTCCCATGCAAAGATACTGAGGTCCGAGTTCTCCATAGCAATATTCTGCTGTAGACGTAAATAGGCCTTGGAGCCCTCTCCATATAGGAGAGGCATCGTGATGTCGAAAATACCGAGCAGGCAATATGCTACATCCTCTTCCCTTGCAGTCTGCCGACCGGACGCCCACGACATCCGTCTCGCGACAGGTATCGCATAGAGCCGCGAGCTATCCTTCAATACCGATTCGTCAATATTCGTGATCTCGGAGAGCGGTCCCTCCAAGTCGGCCTTCTCTCCCAAAAAGTTCCAGTGGTCATCAAAGAATTCCAACCTCCTGGGGGCTATGAGCTCCTGGAGCGTCCACCCACGCGTGAACCATTTGCAATTCTTTAAGTTTTCTGCTACTCGGGCAAGCCTTTCTCTCTCTGGGATTCGCGAAGGGAGCGTGGAGAAATCTGAGAGGAACACGTAGCATACCTCCGCGGCCCGATAATATCGGAACATGGAGTTAATCGCCTCGCTGAGCTCGGCGCTGCTGGTTTTATCAATACAGCAGGTGTCTATCCAAGCGTACTTCCAATATCGTTGCGCTATCCGACACACGCTTTTGATTTTGTGAAAGCCAGATTTGTGGCTGACGGCGTCGAGGTCTTGCATTTCCTGGAATGTGACTTCCTCTCCAGCTTGCCAAGTATGGGAAAGGATAGCGAATGGTAATTGTTTTTCGTCGGTGACCTGCCTCAACTGCAACAGCTCAGTATCAACAAGCCACATATTTCCGGTGAATTGGCACCACTGGCACCGGCTGTTTTTGGCCAAATTGTAGTAGTTCTTAATGTCCCGATGACTAGCAAGGAACCTCAGCCATGAAAACGGAGGAAACTGAAATTTCAGAATCCGACAATATTACCCCTCTTTCTCCTTACTAGCAGCAGAGAGGGGTTACACAATTGGGCGAGTGTAACGTTTGGCGCACCACCACTGCTTTTTCGACACGTCATAACATTGAAGCCACATTGGCGGCTATTTTAAGGGCGATTCTGCCAAGGATCTCATTTTTTTGCTTCCACCTATACATCGCGGAACGCAATGCATAATGTTACTCGATCTTTCCAAGCAAGAAAAAAACTACAATCGGATTAGAAGCTAGAAGATAGGATGTCCCGTTTTCTTAGGTGAGCGCTGCACATAGTCGGGTTTCCGGTAATTAGCTAATGTGCCATCCGCATGATACCAACATGCAAGGTGGATATAAAGGAGGGACGTAACCGCACAACCTGTATCTTGATGGTGGTTCCCTCTTCTGTGGATGATACTGGTGATGCCTACGCACTCCTGTGCTAAAGGGAAGCGGCGTTTCCCAGGGAGAGCCTATATTTCTGAGTGTAATTACATCTCTACCGCCCCATCTCTGCAACTCAAGCTAGGTTGAGAGGGAGCGAAACCGAGACCGAAACGTGAGACTTCAGAATGAAGTTGCCACAACAAGCTCATATTATAATTAAGTATCATTAAGTATATGTACCTTACAAATAAGGCTGTCCTTCTTAAGGGGTAGGTATATGATGTAATAATTAAAGTTTAAAGACCTTAATAAGAGTCAAGTTTTTGCTCCTTGTAATTTTATGTAAGATGATGAAGGATTGGGACATAAGAGACGATAGATGACATAGTAGGGCAGAACATCAGAATCAAAATTTAGTCGTATTTCTATGGAGTGTTGACGCGCCTGGGAATGGGAGGGCCTCATCTAGTCTAAATATATCTATCATTTGTCCCTGGCATCGTGTTCTCATGGGGTTTCTTCGCGCCGTCAAGGCGCCGGTTCTGGAGACGATGGTCACGATGGGGTACATGGTGCTCGACTTCCCGGCGGAGGTTGAGCTTGGGGGCATCCCCGTGCCATTTCTGGCCAGACTCGGGGCTGCTGGCTGTTGTTGACGCCGCTGATAGGCTCTCGTCTCGAGCGTCCGGCAGCGACAGCTTGGGGTGCTGTGGAAAGGACTAATCATGTTAGTGAAGATGTCGGTGTGTCTCATCCACTGGGCAGGTCTTTGATGAGGAAGAGGAAAAGAAGGGATATATCATTACCTTAGTCATCCTGGAACATGGACTTGATGAAAGCGCGCTCCTGACTGCTCGAGAGATCATGCACCGGATCGGGGTTTTTCGTCTCTCGCACTGGGTTTGGCTTCAAATTCTCTGACTCAAACGCACGCTCCCAATCCTCTGCATCCACGAAGAGGTCTTCGCCGGCTCCGCTCTTTCGCCAGTCGTCGTTGCCCTGTGCGTGTAATCTGGCCGCAAGAAGGAACCCCAGATAGGCCTTTCGCATGTATACCGATTTCTCGACCACGGTCACGTAAGTGTACTGTAGCGCAATTGCAGAAATTAGCAGGGTTACTCGGTAGTGGGCTGAACATCTGTACTAACGTGTCCGCCATCATAGCCTTCCACTTGATTCATGACGAGTAGAATCAACGTGTTATAGTCGCACAGGGCGACAAAGGGGGTGACGAATTTGCTCGCGTAGTGGGTTGCCTGCTTCAGGACTATCTCGGTGCTCGACTGTGACTTGGAGCCGATGAACGGGGAATGACGCAAAGCCGTTGCGTAGTCTTTCGAATTGGAGACCGTTCCCTTCTTGAATTGCTCCCTCGAAAGACCGTCGAATTTCTTGTACTCCAATACAGCAAACACGTTGCTTGAATTGCCGGGAGTTGTCTCATCGTTGGGCTTCTCCGAGAAGTATGCAATGTCAACGCGACTGGCGGCAGTCACGTCCTTTCGCGGCTTGGTGAGTTGTTTCAGACAAATATCCTTTGGGTGGACCAGCTGGTAGGCAATCTGGACAGGTTGTCTGAGGTAGGCTGCGGATGCCTCCACGACGTCGGCTTCTGATTTGAACGCCATGGAGTTGTCGACTGGCGAGAGATATCTGCTTCTGAGGTCGTCCTTGTGTTGGTCAAGGCACAACCGTGATCCCAGAGTGGTCCAGTGCTCGACGGGTATCTTGATACCACACCTGGGAGGTTTGCATGCCTCGGTAGTAGTTCCGGAAGATTTGGCACGTGTGTCCACTTGGGTTCCAAGCTGGACGAACGATGGCAAGGCCTGGTTGAACGCTTCGTAGATCGTTATCGCCATTGCAATTGCGAGTGGAATGTCTCATGTCGTTGAAGACGAGTGGAAGTTTTGCGATTGCTTGAAAGAATCTCGATTTCTTAAGTAGTAAGAACATCCTGAGAAGTGAAGGTTTTCTAGGCTGTGAAGAAGTCTTGAGTATTGAATGTCTTGTTTAATGAAGAATTGACAGATTACGTTAATGAGGAAATGATTATCTCATGTATTCCTACCCCAGGACGCAGTATAGGTTTGGTCGAAAGGGTATACTATATGGTGATTCTTCCAGGAGGACAGTCTAACTGCTTCTCCCTTGACGGGCTCATATTCCGAGAATGCCTTTCTCACAATATTCTCATTTTTAACACTGTTCAAGTTTACTCTGGCAAGAGCTTATCAATCAAACGACGTTCATTCACCCAAAAGACCGCAAGATCCCCCCCTAGAGCAATTCTGTCCGGCGACGTAAATTAAGCACATAGGATTTCCTTTTTTAGGGGAACAGCATTCTTCCATAACCTCTGCCTATGTGGAGATACGGTGGAATTGCACACCGGGTCCTGTGAATTGTTCGAGCTTCCAGTGAAGATGTCTCCCCAACACTGTCTGTGCTAGGCAGACTGGAGAATGGGAACTAACACCTTGATCTACTCTCGCCCATGTAGGTCATGGGGTTGTAGGGGAGAATCTAAGGAGTTCCGCAATCAACATTTGTATTTCAGTCACTGGGAGCGACGTGTTCCGGCAGTGGCAGTATTCCATTCATGCAAGATCGTGAGACCATTGGAATGGGTGGCGCACTCATCACCTGAACATGGCAATGGCGAGACGGGCCGCCAAGATGTAATGCAGGATAGTAATGGCAACGACCATTCTCATCAATGGTAATAGCCATCCCACCATTTCCCAGTCGCTGACTTGATGAAAAGGGCTGATGAGATTGGGGTCATCTCCGAGGGACCGTTCTAACCCCAGTGCTTTGCTACAATGTTGAATACCAACGGTTTCTGTTAGCTCTCTAATTGCCGTTTCTCGATATGTGGTCGAGGCCATTGGGCCCAAGGCGGTCGTCGACGAACCATGATCGGCTGATTCCAAGCTGAGTGGGAGCTGTCACCACTGACCATTGTGGCAAGACAAACGCAGGAATGGTGCCTGGGGATCTACGGGTGGTTGATACGGTAGTGAATGCATTTGCAAGCACGCAAGCCCAGCCTGGGAAAGTTGAAAGGCGCAGCCGAAGTGGTACGGGTCACAGAGGATTCCACCAAGTTCGGTCACCAGTACCAACAGTCACCAGAGCAGTTACCAGAGCAGCCACTGTCTGCTTACCTAAGGCAATCACTAGGAGGTTGCCGCCCTCCTCCCTGCTTAAAGGCCGCCTCCCCTTCTTTTTTGTTTCGTTCACAACCAACCTCATCACAATCTCTCCAGTTGTCTGCCTCTCTCTGACAGGATTGACATCCAAACGCCAACCTTGTCATTACAATTTCAACATACAGCCTGACATGTTCTGAGTTCGTCGCAACCCAGCTTCGTCATCATGGGCCCCGAACAAGGCGCAAGTGTCACGCCTCCTGGCGCTGCTGAGCCCCAGCCCGACTGCAGTCTTCGTCTACCAACTCCACCCTCCACTTCTTCCTCTTCCTCTAACGAGGTTTCCGGTACCATTCTCCAGCCCCCTCCTCTCCCTTATGTACCCGGCGCGTGTTTCGATATCAAACCACACAAGCCCCCGCCTCCCTACGACGGTGGCGGCGAGTATTACAGACCAGATCCCAAAGAGTGGAATGGAGACCCTTGGCCTTGGGGTCAAGGCTCACCCGACACCACCATCGAGCAGTATTTCGCGGTGCCGCCTAGAATGACGACCCCTCCACCAGACCAGACTGTGCGTCGCATGGAGGTCACGCACCAGATCCGCTGCGGCGACCCTTGCAAGGCCCAGGTAGTGCGGTGTCTCGTAGATGGGAGAGATTTGGTCGCCAAGATCTTCGACCCCCTGTACGTTGGGCCCGATGAGTACGGACGTCCGCCTACGCACTACAGCGAGCGCTACTATTCGTGCGAGGCGGCCGCATACGAGAGAATCAAGGAGCGCGGCCTCGATGGAAGGTTCACACCCAAGTACGAAGGGTGCTGGTACCTCGAGCTGCCCCTGCGCGACCTCAATGGTCATATCGTTCGCCGAGAGGTCCGCCTGATCCTACAAGAATTCATCCCCGGCGACACCATGCAGGCCCTGGATGAACGAGGAGAAGTGGACACGATCGACCCCAAGGTGCGAATGGAGCTATTGGACCGGCTCACAGAGATCATCAGCCAGCTCGAATTCATCGGGGTGCAATCCCATGACATGCACCCCAGGAACCTCATGATATTCAAGGATGCAAAGAATGAGTGGCAGATCACGCTGATTGACTTCAGCCACTCTCGTGTGCAGGACCTGCCCAACTCCAAGTGGCGGACACGCCGCGGCGAGGACATGCAGTTGCCCGAGTCTCCGCTTACAATTTTGTGGAGGGACTGTTGGCCGGATCATTGTGATGGGTGGGTACCCAAGGAATACGACGGCCAAACCAAGGAAAGCTTCGAGAGGAGGCTCCGATGGATGAAGGACCGATGGGAGGGATCTAGCCAGTACGGCCCTGTCGACCACAGGTGTCTGCCCGTATTCACCGTCGACCACTCTTCCGAAGAGCACTCTACCAAAGACGAGTCATGAAATACGACCTCAAGAATGGAGCAGTTGAGTCGCTTGGCTTCAGGGAAAACGGTATCATGCATTCTCCTTTGGAATGCACATGCGCAGGTATCTTTACGCCAAAGACTCAATAAGCAACAACGACAACTAACAATGACGGCAGTATTGTACGCCAGTTCTGCGGCTCTGCGTGGAAAGTCTCCGAAGGAAGCTTGAAGCCCCCAAGTCGTTCCCTTCTGGGCAGTAATATCCTGCCAAGACGCCGGTTCTGTGTATCTGTCTGCGCAAAAAGAGCCGCCATTGAGATGAAAAGAAAATACGCTGGACATGAAAAAGCGAGTGACGATACAGTCAAAAAGTACTCTTACTACATTTAATGCACTTCTGATGACCGAGTCTGCATTCTTTCAACAACTGAAAGGAGCAAAACTATATAACTTAATCCGATCTGTGCAAGTGCTCTAATGGCACGACACAAGGTCGACGCAATGGCTTCTAGGTGAAGCGGTTCATGTTCACACGGTTCAAGTTGGGAACCTTGGCACACATTACATGCGACTTCACTATACACGAGGCTTACTGAAAACATGCAATACACTATCCATTGCCAAATGACAAACCATAGCTCCTGGGGGGCTCAAGTATACATTTGACAGGCCCGAATGTGGCATTGACTCCTGCATGTGACTGACGAAGAAGTCGAAGATAGTCCAATACTGATTATTATGGAACTACAGGCGAATTATCCCAGCCTATTTTTTAGCTATCATACTCAAAGACAGCCTTCATGTCCTCACTCGTGTAACCAGCATTGAGAGCCAACTGGAGCAAGATCCTCGCCTTCTGCGGGCTCAGGAACCCGCCGCCGTACATGCCCTCGACGCCCTTGGGCTCGACATACCCATCCATAGTTCTCCGCGACATAACGACCTGGGTGCCGTTGTCAGCAATCAGCCCCTCGACAACCTTCAGCCCCTCGTCCGTCCACCCGCCGGCCCCGACGCCGGCCAGGACCAGGCCCTTGGCGCCGATCTCCACCGCGGATCTGGCGAGCGAGGCATCCAGCCCCTGGTACCCGTAGAGCACGTCCACCTGCGGCAGCTTCTCCGCGTCCGCGACGTCGAAGTAGGTCTTGCCGACGGGCGTCGAGGGGGCGTAGTAGAAGACGGGCTTGACGTTGATGAACTCGCCCAGGAAGCCCGCCTCGTACGCCTTGAAGGTGTCCATTGCGTTGGCGTTGGTCTTGGAGGCGAACCACGCGCTGACGATGCGGTCGTTGAGCACGATCATGACGCCCCTGTCCCTCGCGGAATCGCTACCCGCGAGCGTGACAGCCTCGAGGAGGTTTATGGGCCCGTCGGCGCTGATGGCTGTGGCGGGCCGCATGGAACCTGCCATTACCACGGGCTTGGAGCTGTTGAGAGTCAAGTCGAGGAAGAAGGCCGACTCCTCGAGGGTGTCTGTGCCGTGTGTCACGACCACACCCTGGACCGTCGGGTCGTCGAGCGCCTCGGACACTAGCCGCATCATGTTGAGCAGCACTGCATCTGTGATGGCGTTGCTGTCCACGCTCGTCACCTGCACGCCGTGAACATTGGAAACGTTGGCCAGCTCAGGGACGGCGTCGATCAGCACGTCCACGCCCAGGGCGCCCGCCTGGTACCCCGTGGTCTGCGACTGGGAACCTGCGCTGCCGGCAATGGTGCCGCCTGTGGCGAAGATGGTGATGTTGGGCAGGCTGGCGTTGTAAGCCGTGTCTCGCTTGGACAGCTGGACGAGAGCCTGAGGAGGCAGGGACTGGGGGGCAGCGAGAGCCATGGCCCCGAGGGAGGCCATGGTGACGAGACTTTGGAGCATCTTGGATGAAGATGGACAAAATTATAATTGACGAGGGATAGCTATCGTCCCGGCTTGAAGATGACTTGAACGTGCTTCCAAAGGAGTGAAGGTGCCTGGGGAGTTCGCATCACAACATTCGTACAGATTTTCCAGCCCTTATATATGTATCTCGCTCAGGATGCGTCGACGATCATAACCATTCAAGTCTCCAGCCATAAACAGCCTCATCGCGACGCCAATGCATACCGCTTATTTCGTGCATGCTTGGCCTTGAGCCTCACACCACGCACGTACCCATCCTACCATGAAGCCCGCACCCCTATTACCCCTACAAAACTCCCATTGTATCCACACATGGCATCGTTGTGAGCACTTACACAAGCCCGATCAGGTATGCTATGAACCTATTACCCCTACAAAACTGCCAGCGTCTCCACAATGCAGACAACATGAGTCTCTAACACCAGCCCGAGCAGGAATGCAGTCGGACTTATTACCCCTACAAAACTACCACTGTACCCACAATCATGCCCAGCACGAGTCTCTGTGCTCTTCTAGACTGGAACGCCACAGACTCTATTACCCCTTCAAAACTGCCAGCGTCCCCACAATGCCGCCGGCACGAGTCTTTTTCACAATATGGAGCAAGACTATCACCACCTCCTATTACCCCTTCAAAACCACCACCGTACCCGCACTCATATGAACCTGAGCCTTTTTTTTCCACGCCCACGGACCCAGGAACGCCGCCTCTGCATTTGGTAAAATTTTGTGCAGTCTTACGTCTGCCGTGGATACGCGGGTGGGGAGGCCGAGCCGCCGCCCAGCGCGACGAGCCGCCTCACGATCGAGGGTGAATCCCGGTGCTGGGCAGGGGGGCCTGGGTGGGTACCCGGCAGGACTTTGCCGACGATAAACGTGCAGGCACCATAGGAGGCCGGATATGCCCTCAGCCTGGACATCGCAGATCATACAATGCACGGGAGTGGCAGCTGTGGGAAGAAGCCGGGCCAGAGAGTTCAAGGCCGTCAGCACATAGCAGCCCTTGGCAAGCCACAAGCGTATAGAGCTGCACAGACGTAATGACGGAGCCGCTTTGCACCACCAGCAGCAGCAACCTGGGTGGATTTCCCATCCATGTGCACTGAATCAGGGACGGATTGCTCGCAGGAGACAGGGGGGTCCGGGATGCGGATTCATGAGCACGGTAGCACCACAGCTGGGTATTTTTATGTGGGCAGCGAAAACTATAATCGTCAAAGGTCCCGCAGATCAAAGCGGAGCCGGAGCGGAGCCGGGGCGGAGCCGGGCCTGATCTGCCGGGCCCCCTGTCCGCCCATCTCACCCGGGATCCGGAGGCTCTTTTGCGGGAGAGCCGGCGCGTGGGGGAGTGAGTGACGTGGCTTTTCGGGGGATTCTTTTTGTGTGTTCTAACGGCCTATAGCGTTTTTCACATCCGTCGTTCGTGTGGGCTGGTGTTGTGCTCTCAGCAGACTTCTCGAATCTTCTAGTGTGGAATCAGAGGGTCGCGGAGGCGGTTGCTGTGAGTGTAGATCGGGCTTTGTTTCTCGCGTCGAATTATCTTGGGTTCAGGACGTGGGAAACATTTCAAGACTGTGGCTCAATGATGGACAATGTATTATCACCACCTGCTCAGGCACAGACCACATCAGGAGCAAGGCCCCAGCCTCCGCGAATGTCGTGTGTATACAGTGCCGAGGTCGACGGCTCCCCTTCGCAGAGAGCGCCACAATGCCCTCTACTCGACTGGCTGACCGACTATATAGCGGGCTGCATCTTGCCACGGATGTAGTAATAAGTAAGTTATTTCTCTCTGAGAGTTTTTTGAGTGCACTATACCAAAACTGCTATTCCCAACTCAGCCTTTCTGTTGCCAGCAGAACAACTATACCGAGGAATCAACTCTCTGCTTTTCGTTGCGGGGTATATTCAGATGCAAAAAAGATGAGAACAATATCAACATGTAAACAGACACACACATTCTCTCTCACACACATACACAGGTGGGGAGGGGGTAGACAAGATCACGGATCTGGGCACCCACCCAAACCCCCTCACCAGATGATCTGGGTCACGCGGGTCTTGAGATCAGGGCTGCCGGCGGCGGTGCTCCGGCTGCCGCACTGTAGGACGGCACTGTGCCTCTTGAGGTCGAACTCGACTGCCTTGACCATGACCCGCTTGGCCTCGGGGACCGTCCTCTGCGCCGCGGCGAGGCTGCTGGCCGTCGACTCGCGCCGCATGTCCCAGCGCGCGTTGCCGCCAGGCCCTAGGTTGTCGCCCAGCTCGGGCGAGCCGTTGGGGGCCTGGCGGGGCTTGGGTGACATTCCGTTTCCGTTCGCGCTGGCGGGTTGCGGGGAGAATCCGCCTGCGTCCGAGAATGAGTCCGCTGGGCTCCGGCCCGGCGTCATGATGGGAAGCTGGTCCTCCTCCTCCTCTATATTCATGATCCACGTGCCGATCCGCGCCGTAAGCTCGCTGTCCCACATGCCTTCCCTCCTGGAGCTGCTACGCAGAAGCTGGATGGCCTGTCTCCTGAGGAGCGGGCTGCGGCACTTGGTTGCCACAACATATAGCGGTGGGACAATGCCCAGGTCAGCGCTAAAGCTCGGCTTGATGTGGTTGGCCATATAAGTCTGTCCACCAAAGATGTCTGGCTCCTGAGAATCGTGATGGTGGCACCTTCGAGGATCCGGGCACCTCTTTTCTGCTGCTCGTCGCTCCTCATCTCCCACGACTTCGAGACCAAGGTCGACTATCGTTTTGAATTGAGGCTGGAAAACGTCGAAGTGCTGCTCGCTGTCGCTGAATGTCATGAGGAAGAGGACCTGCCCCATTATTTGGAACATTTTGAGGACAGCGATGGCCGCTTTCTCTTGGCTACTCACGCCAGGTGAAAACCTCGAGCTCAAGATGTGCTCAAATGCGTCCGCCCATGCCTCTATCCGGCCTCTGAATGAAAGCCCGTACTGCCGTAACTTTGCAGGCAGAACACCCATTGGACCGTCTCCGCTGGCCTGGGCGAAGAGCCTTTCGGTGAACCTAAACATCTGCTCACACAGCGTGTCCCATGCGATCCGCGCCTCATGGAGTGAGTCAAATTGTTCGGGAATGGGATCTTGATGCAAAGATAAGGGCGAGCCCACCTCTGATGAAGGCGAAGATGGGTCCGTGGAAGGTTGTATTAGCTGGATGACATATGGTTTTGGGAAGTGGAAAGCCATGTCGTAGGATTTGGCCTGTATCGCCAGGCGAGTAAACATTTGGATGATCTCGTCTTCCACCGGCTCTTCTGGTCTCGAAAGGAAAGCCCGCCGTCTTTGTGCGCGTAATTGCTCCAAAAGACCCAGACCGGTCTGAATCTGTTTGATGGCCTGCTTGTGATCACCTATGAAGGAGTCAAAGCATGCCAGCAGAACACTGGCCATGAGGCGTGTCCTGTTGGCGCCGCTGTCCTGCCCAGCAACGCTGACCAGTGACGTGCAAGCATTGGAATAAGACCGCACCGCCACCTCCCAGTGCTGCCACGCAGTATCGACGGCACTGACTGCGGCTGCTGGCGAGCTTGGCGGCGACTCACAATGCTTGTCTAACGTCTTGTACAGGGCGCCCAGCGCCACAACGGCATGACGTACAGCATCTTCAGAGTGACACTCCTGCAGAACCAGGCGCGACCAAAAGGTGGAATCAAAATAACCAGACAACTCGTTGGCGGTGTGGGCCTGGAACAACTGGAAGTAGAGACCGTCCTGCTCTGGGACTGGGCAAGTCGAGGGCCTGTAGATGGTCATTGAATTCTGTTGCACAACGGGTGTCTGAGGGGGCGTATATCGGTGATAATATTTGGAGAGACGTCGAGGGGCAAGCTGCGTGGACTGTGTGGCCTGTGCAGGTTGGGCGGGCTGGGGAGGTTGGACTGCTGGTGCGGCGGCCAGAGAAGACTGCTGTCCCCCAACCCGTGGCCTGGGGGCGATGCGCACCTCCTCGAATGGTCGCGCACTGCGAGGAGGTGGTGGGTAACCAGAACAATCCTTTTTGGAGCGCACACATTGCGTGCAGGCTGGCCGTTTCTCGTCGCATTTTATCCTCCGCTGTCTGCAGAAAGTGGTTTGTGATGTTAGCGTACGTGCAGTGCCAGCAAGCAGCTCGATGTAACAAGCACGAGGAGTACGGCTGTGCAGCTTCAGAGAACAGTGGGTGAGGATTGACTGACTTGCAGTTGTTGCAACCCGTCTTGACCTTGGGCTTGCTCGTCCTCGCGCGCCTCTGTTTTGGCGGGTCGTTGGAGGTGGCAGACGTTGCGGTAGGGGCCGGGGATGGAGGGCCGTTGCGCTGGTTACTTCCGGGCGCCATGATGGACTGATGAACCGAGGTTTGACCAGCCGGTAGAGCAAGCATTTGCCATTACAGCCATGCAATGGCGCGAGTTGAGCGAGTTGGCGGGTAAATTGTGCTGTCGAGATGGTTCCAAGGTGAGAGGGAAGAAATGAGTTTTGCCCTCCAGAGGACTCGTCTCAGAGCCCTAGCGACTTTTGGTGTGGGGTTGAGGCGTTCGTGGGATCGTCCCCCGAAGGAAGGAGGTAGCTCCAGGCCGATATGGTGTGGGGGGTTGGGCTAACGGGCGTGATGATGCGATGGGCGAACGGGTCGAGCAGTGGCCAGCCTCTGGACAGGCAAGGGGGCGGCCAGGGGGAGGGTTTAATACATGAAATAGGCTGGTTGTGCCGCAGCGAATTAGGTGGGCAGGCGTGCTCATGCAAGAGCTGGAGCTACACAGCCGCCAGAGGCTAGGAACGTCACATCAAGACGGCATTTTAGTCTGGGGCCACATGATAGGGACGGGGGACGGGGCAACCGGATGGGCGCGCACCTCTTTGCTTCTGATTGATGCGTCACTCGAGGCGATCAAGGTCGGAAGGCCGAGACGAGACGAGACGAGACGAGCAGCGCGCTCCAGTCGGCGGTGCGACCTGTCCGAGACTGGGCCGTGCTGAGATGGTTGAACAAAAGAGCAGGGTGCTGCCGCGTGGGCGACACGAATAACGTGAACGTGACACTGGGTGAGTGAGGATGGCGTCCCAGGGCGCACACACACAAGGCACACAAGACGAGCCGGCCAAGCCTGGACCTGTGTTGAAGAGGCGGGGACAGGGACGGACGGGGACGGGAGGCTAAGGCAGGAAGAGCACAGGGACGGAGAAGCTGTCAAGCTGGTAAGCTAGCGGGTCTCTCCACTGTCCCGAAGCCCAACGGCGATTGACGCGATGAAGCTCAGCTACCGAGTGAAAGGCCTGCCACTCGGGAACAGCAGGCTCGTGCGGTCGGGATTCAAACAAGGGGACGGTGGTCTCGAGAAGATGGAGCGAGCCAGCCGAGATTTGGTACTTCTGCCACCACGTGGGACGTTGGCGACTATTGGAGGGCCGAGGATTGAACAGGGACTTTTATCGAGAAGCCTTCGAGTCGGGAACCTAGTAGATATGAAGCGGGTAGACAGAGACGGGCTAGGGTGGATGGCAAGGGATATAAGGATATATACGCGGTCAGGATGACGACCATGGGTGTGTAAGGGCATTCGTGTCTCGGTTGTCTCGATTGAGAAGGGCTGCTGCAGGGCTGGGCTCCTGTAGGCTACATATAGACAGGCAGACAGACAGACCGAAACCCAGGTCGACAGGAAACCTTGGAACATAGATACATACTGTACACACAGTAGATGGTGGCCCATGAGCTGTGCAGTGCCTGGGCCGGTGGCTGCATCAATTTGCGGGCGTTCGGGCGCAGAAACTGTACATGCATGCGTGCGTATCTCAACCGAGGGGCACAGTACGGCCTGTCGGAGGTGGTCATCAAGCTCCCGTGTAGCTCGGTCCTCCCCCCCTCCACCCACACCAACACCAACACCAACACCAACACCAACACCACATAGGGCATGCCCATCCTGACCAGGCCAGCCTGCAGGTGTATGCATGCGCCGGCCATCCTGGCCAGAAGGGGGAGAGCATGTCCAAAGAGGCAGCCGGGTGGTAGTCCAGATACGCTGCGTGAGTGTGTGTGTGTGGACTGTGGATCGCATGCCCCACGAGCCTGGTTCGCCCGAGCTACAGTGTGCTCCTGCCGTGATAGACTCTGCCAAATCTGGGAAGCAGCACGGCACAGCAGTAGAACGTCGACAATGGGCGCTTGCGATTTGCAGGGATGGCACGCGCACAGGTCGACCACAGTACATACATCGGGCCTGAGATGGTACTTTGGTAGCTCCCCAGCCATCGTGGTGGGCGGGCGGGCCCAGCACTGGGAGCTTACTCCCTTGGGGGTACCATGGCACCGAGCAATGTCTTACTTCGGGCTGTGCTTGACCGGGGAGGGGTCCTTCCCCGGCTCTCATCCGCATGCAAGCATCAACACATCCACATCCATCCACCCACCACCATCACCACTACCACCACCACCATCTGTGACAGATCCCAATCTGCTCTGCACACCGCAACTGTGGCTGGTCTAATATTACCAAGAGTATGACAAACAAAACATGTGCTGTCTATTGATATCACTGCCCACGCCTACTCCGCACAGATTTGGCTCGCACGGCACCACAGCCGATCCAAGACGGCGCCATCATCCCAGACATCTTGCAAGCCCCATTGAGAGACATGGCTGTCTGTCTACTCCGGCAGTCTGTGCAAACAACTCGAGTTGGGACGACACGGCTCGCAAATTGAACGCGAATTGAACGCGGTAACGAGAACGACACCGCAGTCTGCCCTGTCCACAGCCCCAGCCATTGGTGACACGGCATGCGAGAGCGGAACAGTTCACTTAGTATACTCATCTAGTATGGTGTTAACGCCTTCTTTGACCTGACACCTGCCAGCAGATGGGGGAACACGGAATCTACTAGCGATTAGCTCTACACTCGTTGCAGAGTCGGCTTTTTTTTGGTCTTTTTTCTCCTTCCGCCCGGGAAAGGCTCCGGGACTGTAGACCGCGATGAATCAGCATCGATGGCGAGGGAGAGAGCCACGGCAGACAGGCACTCGTGTCTGTCTCCCCAAGGTTGTCGGCATAGCTCAAGAAGAGCTACTGACCCGGGGCAGATCGAGATGCCCAAGGAGATCATCTCCGGCACCCTCCATCTCAGCCCTACAGGAAATCGAGAGTCATGCTCCATGCATGGGCCCTACAAGGTCAGAATCCATTGGGCCCCCCATCACCTCTGAGGGCACCTGCATCGACGCCCCGGGCCAATCGTGGCACTGCCTGGAAACAAGCCCATGTGGGTCGTGTTCAATCTGGCATGTCTGGCAAACAAAGGCGCCTGGCAACCCCGGACCCTCATCCCTACCACGGCCGTGTTGAAGCCCGTCGTCAGCCCTATGTCCAGAAACAGGCCCTGATTCGTGAGGAGGCGGTGCCGGTACTGCAGGCGAGACTACTGCGTGTTTAGACTCGTAGCCACTAGCACCTCTTCTCCGCCGTTTCCTTCCCAATCACGGCACCAGGGAGCTTGTCGACTGTTCGGCCTCTTCCTATGACCTGGACCCTGCACCGGGCGGCCCTGGAGGCGGATGAAGGGGAATCCCTGGACGGCCTGCTTCCGCGTCGACGTGTGCTCCCGGAAGGTGACACGGCAGTCTGATGGTCTGCCATACTGTTAATCGGCATTATCTTCGAGTTTCCACAAGTCGTCTACGTCTGAGTCCGTGTAAGTGCCCCATTGTCTTCTGTTGTACTCGAAAATAAAAGTCCAGCGCCACGTCAAGATCATCATGGCGAAGACAGGTCCCAAGTCTGAGCGAGCACGAGAGTGGACACGGCGAGCATGCACTGTCGCATGTGTATGCACCGCTGATAGATTGTGCGGCGGCATCGGCTACGTCGAAGATTTCCCTGGGATCGCAGCAAACAGGTGAATCGCAGGCACCAACCTGCGCCACGATCTTGCTCGAAGTTGGTAGGATGCCTGGCTGCATGTCGGTGGAGACTACTCATGCCATGAAACCTCGCTGCCTCCAAATCAAGGACTAGACTGGAGGTGCCTCACCAACACACGGCCAGTTCCAGAGGTCGCGCAGGTGGTTCGAGCATCGGCAGGGCTGCAGGGAAAGGGGGGGGGGGGAAGGCTCGCTGGAGCTCTCTCCCCACCGAAGACTCGGGACCCCTGCCCTGTCACCCGCTCTCCACATGAGGAGGCTGTGTGCAGCATTAGGCTCGTGCTGACCCTGTTCGCCCATCGCGATAGCACCCGGAACCGCCGTGTTGGGTCGTCGCTAAAGCAGCTCCCCGTTGCAAGCCACAAAAGCCCACTTCCCTGAACCACGAGGAGGATCAGTTTACCCCTTGCAAGTCTGGCACAAGGCAGACTGCCAGACTGACTGACTGACTGACGAAATGACTGATGGAGGAGGGTATCGCGGTTGACTAGTGATGTCAACGACTCACCGCTCCGTCCTTATTCACGATGATGACGGCCTCTCACCTCCGCAGTAAGCATGCTCCAAGAGCCAGCCATCTCGCTGTGGTCTGAGGTCTTCTCGGCCTATCCCCGCTCCGGAGAGGATGCCTCCATTTTCCCAGGACAGAGCCGAGGTCATTCACGACTTGAGCATACCCTCTCCACTTTCAAAGGCATTGCTCCTGCCTGGCGCCCGACGAGTCACGGCTGGCATCCAGCGGGACCTTCAGGAAATGTCGCCCTTCACAGGCATAAGATTGAATGATCTCTTTTGGCTTCGGTAGGGCTGAGCGCCTAGACTCTCAATGCCGGGAGAGAAGCTGCGCGACGCTTATTACAGAGCAATCGCCGTCCCCCATTGGCACACCCTGAAGCGATACAGAATGCTCGACGCTGATGGGGCCTTCGAATGCATGCCCACTAACACCAAATTGACATCTCACCATGACCACCAGCATCATAAGCCGGCAAAAGGCAGCCAGCCCATGCACCTACCTGCCTGCATGTGAAGTGACACATGGCGTGGGAGACGGCCCGAAAGGAACACGTCGAGTCGCAAGCTATAGCCCTTCTTCTTCTTCACTTTCTTCTCTTGTCCTGCAGTCTTCTTGCATCGGGAGGTACTGAAGCCCCGGCGTCGCCTATCCGCTGTCGTGGTGCTGGTGCAGCTACAGCCGGTGAGTACTTTATATGTCCGGCCCACTGGCAATACCGAAGGCTTGCTAGCATTTCTCGGTGAGACGAGACCGTAGAATCTGAGAGACGTCCAAGCTGATTTTCAAGCTCAATATCTAAGAATACACATGCATTTTCATAGTTACCCCTGGCATCTCTGTACCTGGTGCTTCCCCAAACCACGGCTAGGGTGGTGGAGGCCCCGCAAGAGCCCTTTCCGGTCTGCATGTGTCCAGGGGACCAATTCACTAGCAGACTGGCAATGAGAATTCGCCCAGGGGTCAATGTGGTCGATTGAGCTATTGACAAGCTTGCTACAGCATGTACATCATTCAAGTGAACGTCTTCATCGTAGTATGTTATAGACACAGACATGGGAAAGTGAACGGTTGATCCGAAAGCCGTTAATGCGCGGGCCAATCAGAGGCTCGGAACGTGCGGCAGGTCTATCCACCGTCAGTCTGGGGGAACCTCATCACTCAAAATTGGGACTTCACAAAACGCCCAACATGTCCGCTATGAGGGTCCAAGGAGCTAGAGCGTGCGTGGGAGCCTAAGACGTTACAGTGGAAACCAAATTGTCCAATGCTTGTCCTGCGCAAGACACCGGGATACTTGTACCCAAGACTGCGCCCCCATTCCTCCTCTCAAAGAGAGAAACGAGGGAAATGGCAGCCCTATCCGATATCATTTTCCCGTCCCAGGAGTCAAGCATCAGCACCAACAACATCAATAAGATCCTGGGTGACCTCAAGCGCTCGAATCTGTCCATAACGAACCGGCTCCTGTCCATCCAGAAGGACGCAGATTTCGTTGAGGAGGTCGCCGCCGCTCTTGCTGGTGGCAGAGGCCCGGGTGATGGTGATGGTGATGGCGATGGCGGTGGCGATGGCGGTGGCGCTCAAGACGGGGCCAGGAAGCAGAAGCGCCCGCTTGTCGCTAATGAGCGGTGCGGGAGCTGGTACATCCGGCCCAGCCTGAAGGGGGCGTCAGCGTACTTCAAGAGCACCGACGGGCACACGGGCCAGTGGAAGTTTTCCACCCGGAGGTTGAATCTTCACCTGCTGCCGATCATTGAGAGGTGCGATGGGTAAGTTGGACCGGATGCGGGTTGTTCTATGAGAGCCACTATGGAATGATTTTCACAGCCAAAGAATTTGAGGGCATCTTGTGGTTGGGGTTCATCACTAATGGTAGTCTCCATCTCGCAGGATAATAATAGTTGATTCCACCAGGAGAGGCAAGAGGATGCCAGACTCGCTCAGCAAGACGGTCCCGGTGTGGTGCTGCGTCCTCAACAGGGCGCTGTTCCCGGAGCTCACGGGGTCTCACGGCCTCTACGTGCCCCCGAACGTGGTCTCGGGCTCGGAGAAGTCACAGATGCTCTCCCGGGTCCCCGGCTTTGTCGACTCGCTCAGGCAGCTCAACCTGGACCTGGCCGGCCTCCGGGCCCAGATCTCGAAGCCCATCAGGCCGACGTGGGTCACCCAGGAGACAGTCCTGAGTCACTATCACGGTAGAGATGGAGACAACGATGATGCCAACGACGACGATGGGCGCATCTTCGAGTCCTTCCGGCCCGTCATCTGCTGCACCTCGTCCAGGAGGATCACGGACGGCGAGATGTCCGGCCACAGTGGCTACGTGCAGGGCGCCGGGGACGACACCGAGAACTGGGCTCTTGGCCTGGCGCCGCCCGTCTTCTGGGACAACGCAGAGCAGCTCCTCTCAACGCCAGAGGTCGACCTCCCGGAGCTGATCACGTCGCTCGTCGCCTCGGCGAGTGGCAGCGCCCACCAGCAATCCCACCCCACGACCACAACCATAACCAACGGCACAGACCCTGAAGCCCACGCCCTCCCGCCATCAGTCACACAACTAACCCCCTTGCTACACGTCAGCCCCCTCCCGATCCCACGGCCCCTGCCCGGAAGGGACACCAAGGGCTCCACCCAGTCCTGGTGCACAATCACCATCCTCTCCGCGCCGACCCCGCCGGAGACATGGGCCCAGTCCCCAGCGCACATGGAGGTCGGCCTCGGGGCAAGGCACAAGGCCGCGAGCCGCTCCCTGCGGACGGCCCTGCCGCGCATCTGCGAGTTCGCCTGCCGCTTCCTCCTCCTGCACCCACCACAGCACCCTAACCCGCGGGTCCTCGTCGCCGACGAGTCCGGCGGCCGTGACCTGGCCTCCGGGGTAGCGCTGGCGCTGCTGTGCTGGTGCTTCTCTGACGACGACGGGCGGAGCGTGCGGGGCGCGGAGCCGCCGTCGCCGCGTGTCGAGCGGCCCGTCTTCACCAAGGATTTGATCCGCGCCCGGCTGGGCCGCATCATGACCGCCATGCCGGATGCGAACCCGAACCGGGCAACGCTTCAAAGTGTCAACAGCTTCCTGATGGACTGGAAGTAGGCCCGGAGGGGCTGGGCCTGGTTTCTTGTGTCTGTCTACCTGGTGTAAGGGGTCGCCATGTTGCCATGCTGGAGTGGGTATATTTGTGGCTGATGCTCACCCAAAGCTTGCTATCAGCTGCCTGTCAATTACAGGTTCACCAGCCCACGACTGGTTGGACGGAAAACGCAGAAGCCCTCCGCGGGAGATCATCCTGCAGATGATTGACCTAGAGCAGACTATCCCATAGCAGACTATCTCATAGAAGATTATCCTATAGAATATTATCCTATAGCAAGTCATCCTGTATCAAGATATCACATAGCGTGTGACCCACAAGTGGTCGTCCCACAGAAAACCGAGAGGGCGTCAGGAGGGAGTCACAGAGGCCATTGGAAGACAGACCCAGGCTGACACAATCAAATGCATTTTATCATTTATTTGCCCAGCACACTTGCTTTCGAACTAGCATCTACCAGTCGTGATTTCCGAGGCCGTCAGTTCTTTTCCCAAGCTCATCGCGTAGTTGCCACTTTTGATATCCCGCTTAATTTCAACAAAAAGATTCCCAGACAAGAAAGAGAGGTCTCGGTGGTTCTTTCCGAAATCTATACCTTGCCGCTCTCGATCTGCTCCAGAGCAGCAGGGAACTCGCTCCACTCCTTCATGACAACGACTGCGCCTGCGTCGCGCAGCACCTTCTCCATCTCGGCCTTCTTGTCGTCGGCGTAGGGGCCCACGTAGCCGATGACCTTGATGCCGGCGCGCGTGCCACTGAGGGTGCCCGACTTGGAATCCTCGACGGCCACCGACTCCTCGGCGGTCTTGCCGAGGGTCTTGAGGGCGTGCAGGTAGATGGCAGGGTCCGGCTTGCTGGTGGGCTTGGGGAGGGAAGTCGCGGCGCTGAAGACATCGTTGCCAAAGTACTTGTCCTGGCCGACCTTCTCGATGGAAGCCTTGACACGGCGCAGGGCAGAGGAGGACACCACGGCCAGGTGGTACTTGCCGGACGCGGCCAGCTTCTCGAGCTCAGCATCAACGCCGGCGCAGGGCCTGAGGGCCTCCTTGAGCTTGGCGATGACGACGTCCTCCTCCTTCACGACGTACTTCTCCAGGTCGTCGGGGCCAATCTCAAAGTTGTTTTGCTTCTGCAGGGTGGTGAGCATGCCGCGGAAGTTCTGGCCGACAAACTCGGTGATGAGGGTCTCGCCAGTGAAGGGCTTCTCGATCTTGACATTGCGCTCCTTGCAGATCTGGTTGATGAGGTCGGCGCAGCCCTCGAAGGCGAGCTCCTCAGAGAGCACGAGGGTGTTGTCGCAGTCGAACAGGATGGTGGTGATCTTTTGGCCGGACATGTTGGCTGACGTGGGTGCTGTGGTTTGCAGGTGTTTCCGTGTATTTGAAGCTGGGGGAAATGGACCGACGGACTGGGATAGCTGTCTAGATGGTCTGAATTGCAACAAGACTTGAGGAGAGAGATGAGATTGAAACGCAGACGGAGAGTTCTAATTCTAAGTCTGAACTGTACAGGACAAAAGGAGACCTGATTGCGATGGTGAGAAGATTCTGGTTGAGGGGCGGAAGGGAAGGGATGAGGTGTGTTTAAGGTGAGAGAAGGAGGGGCAACAACCGTTTTATTGTTGACATGGGGTGGGGTTGGCAGCGGGGGGCACAAGCAGAAGCAGAAGGAGGGGGTGGGGCAAGAAGCAAGAGCTCCTGCTGCTGGTGCTACTTACTGCTACTGTTACTTGACCGTCGTCAAGGCAGGCAGACCCAGGCACTATTGGTCCTGTGCTGCGAAGATACGTCATGAGGGAAGGCATGATGGGACCGGTGGACTGCAGTGGATGGAGGCACCCACTGCATGCACCGGCGGCAGGTGCATGCGCTGGCGGGACCTGGCAATTGGCGGGGACGGGCTCGGGGAATGGGCAGCTCGCTCCTTTCACAGAGACCTCAACGACTCCCATGCCAACGTAGCACCTGCGGTATTAATTTAGAACCAATGCAATGCAGAGTCCGGGGGAGGCAATCACTGAATGGGAAGCGACGTCGAGACGGACCGCAGACCGCAGCGGGAGCCAAATCCGTGTGGCAGGCTCAGCCGGCAGGGAGCAAGGAGCAAGCAGCAAGGAGCTGGCGGCACACAATCACGACGGGTGGTCTGACGGGTGGTCTACACCGTACAAGCGGGCTTTCCCAGGTACTATCTGTACTGTATAACCTATAAACGCGTACTTGGTACTGCACGTATGCCATTTGGTTCGGAGTATCCCATCTGCTCATCTGCAGTCAGATCGATCGACCTTCCAATGTGGGCCCTCGATTCGACAAGGCGGCCCTTGCCTGCCAGTCTCATGACTCGCTGGCAAGCTCCGCGCGACGACCACATGAGAAGCCTCGAGAAGCAAGCACCGTCTCCTGCAAAGCAGTCCCGTGATGATGGCCTCGCTGGAGTGTCTCTCGAGGGGGCCGACATAGGAGCACCCAAGCAAGTCAGCCTGGGCCGGGCCAGGCCAGGCCAGGTCAGATCAGGTCGCACCAACCTCCCGAGGCCAGCTGGGTAACCCCCAAGGCGGGATGCGGCCTCAACCTCAACCTCAACCGCTGCCCAGCCCAGCCGGGCAAGCCAACCCTGTAGGCCCGACCAGGCGCCAAAGGAGAAAAAAAGAGAGAGAGAGCTGATGAGGTTGTGCTTCGCGAGGGCGGGCGTGCAGGCGTGGCACGTCCTCTCGGGATTTGGGGAGGATGTGTTTCACAGCCGCAGGCTCACTCCGTCTTACAGTACAGCTCTCGCCGTGCTCGCTTTGGGCCTGGCCAGGAGGCCGGCCGGCCTTGAGCCAGCCACGCCTTTCCCACACAGCCCAACCCGCCTTTGACCAGAGCGAGACATTGGAGCACTCTGCGACATTTAGATGCGTTGCCAGCCGGGAAAGTGTTGGGACCACATGTGATCATCTCGGGCCATTACTTGAGATCACTTGGAGCTCTTAAGACACATCGGTACTGCATTTAAGTTTTCAAATGTTTCCCATTTCTGACATTACAAGTCTATAGAGCCGACTAGACGAGGTGCAGAAACAACAGGAAATGTGAGGCCTGGGGGCCTCATGCTGTATGAAATCGTCTTAGCCAGCCGTTTCCCTTCCAGACCAGAAGGGCTTCCTTCCCTCTTCCCAGAGTATATGAGAGAGCAAAACACTAAGCTACCATCCGCCAGAGGCCATGGGTCCCTCAACCTGGGAGGTGCCAGAGGCGGATAGAATCAAAATTAATCGAGTTCGTACAGAAAAACAAAAGGGACTCCAAACTCCGTGCGGTCATGATCCGTTATCGTCCTTTCATGCAAATATGCCCAGTCGTCGTCAGGCGCAACACCGGCTAATGACGACGATGGGTATGGTTCCGATACATGTTCTCAAATCTGAGTCATTGCGTCGGAGCGTAGGGAGCACCGAGTCCTTCGGGGCTTCCGCTTTTCGTGCCATCGAAGGAGATGGCCGAATAAATGAGGCGGTAGCTTTGGTGACAGTCGGCACTTGCTCCCAAGCGTGCACCTTGGGTGTAGAAGCCTGAGCCGCCAAGTCCACCCTTCGCGCCTTCCTCAAGGCACAAAAGACTCGTGTTCTACTCAGTATTCAGACACGAATCCCAAAAATTCCCATTCAAATCTCATCATCCTTTTGAGACCTCAACAACCATCAAATTCGTTCCCTATCCGCGAGCAGCTTACAGGATGCCCTTGAGAGCCTCCTTCTGCTGTGGAGTCAACGAGGTGGGGAACTTGACGTTGTACTTGATGATGAAGTTGCCCCTCTGGCCAGGCTTCTTCGAAATGGGCATGCCCAGGCTTGGGTAGACGTCTTGAGACCCAGGTTGCGTGGGGCCGGACTTGTCAAGGCTGAGTTGCCGCCCGTCAATGGTAGTGACGGTACGTTTCCAGCCTGTCAGGGCCTCCTTCAGCTCGAGGTCGACGGTCATGCTGAGGTCGTCGCCGTCGCGGGTGTAGATAGGGTGTGGTTTCTGTGGGTATTGTTAGCACTCCGGTCACATTTTCAGGGCGACAGGAAGTCTCCTCAGGGCTTTGCGTGACTTGCCTCCTCGATGACGAAGCACAGGTCCTGCTGACCGCCCTCCTCCTGGTCTCCCACGCCCTTGAAGCGAATCTTGCTGCCCTTCTTCAGGCCAGCCTTGATGGGCACTGTGAGCATCTGATCGGTTGTGGTCCGCTTGCCGTTGTCGTCGAACTTCTTGGCCTTGATCTTCATCTTCTTCTCCACGCCCTTGTACATGTCCTCCAGAGACACAGGCAGCGAACGCTCCACCGTTGTCACCTCAGGTGTTGGCTGTCGTGCGCTGCGGCCGCCGCCCATGCCCGCATCTGGGAAACTAGTCCTCATCCGAGGCCCGCCGCGGCTGGCCCGTGGACCGCCGCCGCCAAAGGCGCTGAAGAGGTTGTCAAAGTCGTCATCGCCGCCGCCGCCAGGGCCGCCTCCGCTCCGCATGAACTCGGCGAAGATGGAGTCCGGGTTGGAGAAATTAAATCCGCCCGGGCCTCCTCCGTTTGTGCTGAAATGGAAGGTCTTGGCGCCGCCGCCGCCGCCCGTGTCGAAGTTGAAGCCCGAGAAGCCTGATGGGACGCCGCCGCCAGCGCCAGCGAAGGGGTTGCCTCCAGCTCCATCTGGTGGTGGGGCGCCGCCGCCGCGCAGCAGGAACTCGAGGCCGTACTGGTCGTAAACTTTTCGCTTCTCTGGGTCAGAGAGGATCTCGTAGGCCTGTGAGCACTCCTTGAACTTCTCGGCGGCGTCGGGATTGTCCTTGTTCTTGTCAGGGTGGTACTTCAAGGCAGCCTTGCTGAAGTTGGGTTATGTGGTTAGCTCTGCAAGCTCTTTGGAAAGCCGAGGGTGGGACAGCAACGGTAAGACAGTTGACAACATAACCGCTAACACGTGTATGGGGAATGGGGCTTACCGATAACCCTTCTTGATCTCATCCTGGGATGCATCAGGCTTGACGCCGAGCTGGTCGTACAGCTTTGTTTCTTTGACCATGGCTGTGGTATCCTTGGTTTGCCTTGATCTATTTGCACGTCAAGGAGATAGGGTAATGACTGAGTAGGAAATGCAGGCTGAAGCCTTGGTGGAATGAGGAGAAGCAATCAGGACTCGCGGCAATCAGTCGTCGGGTCAGATTGGCTGATCGGGTCGCGTGGTGTTGTTGGATGTTGGATGGGGGGTTTGCGAGGGTAGCGATTCAAGGTCGCTCTGCAGTCGACTTTGTCTTGGATGATTGGAAGATCGGGTTCCAAAAGATTGTTCGTATTTGTGCCTTTGGTGCACTCAAATCGAGTCGTAGTGATGCAGTGGAACTGCCAAGTTATAGGACCGAAGGATTGGAAGTTGGTCAGAAGCACAGAGTAGGAGGGTGTTTGGGAACCAATTCTATCAAGAGACAGGGCGTCCCCCGTGGTGGAAGAGTGGGGCTCGGGCGAGAGCTTCAACGTGCTTCAAGAAGATTCGATGTCCTTCCAAGCACCTGGACCTGGACTGTGACGTCGACCAGCCACACCAGTCTGCCTCACTCTCTCCCCTTTATGCTCGCCCAAGCCGTCGCTGAACACAATTGTCTACCTCAATGCATCCATGAGCCCGAATCCGTCAAGGTATAGCCACGCCTAAATTCTTTAACTCAACGACAATCGCTCCAAGGATAGGATACGCTCCTGCACACGCCATGGGCAAGGTAGGTACTTCTGACCACTCACAGCTATGTGGGTCTGTTTGACCGGCCCAGGCCGCTGAGCTGAATTGCCCGTGCGAAGAACGTTCGAAGAATTGGAGGATGATCACGACAATATCCAAACCTCCAGGATTACCCAAACATATACTGCATGCAGCACAATGTGGCCATCTAAAAAAATCCCACCACCTAATAGTACATATCAGATGCTATACAACAATCGTGGACTTGGGGCGGCAGCCCGTTTGGTCGCTGCTCAGGCCGTCTCTCGGCCGGACGATCGCGGGCCCACCGTTCTAGCCGTACCTACCTAGGTAGTCGCCTATGGATCTCTGACTGCTGTCTCCCAACCTGGTTAGTTAACAGCCCACCTCTGATCTGCTCACGCCTCACCCGCGCTCAGTGATGCTTAGTGTATAACTCACCTCAGCCACCCCCTCCGGCCTTAACCCAACCTAACAGACGTCAAGGCCAGCTTATTTCTTTTAAAATCGATCAACTTTACGCGAATATCACCACGCCATACTCCAGGATGCCGGCCACCGCCACCAGCACAATGGCTGCCAGCGCGCGAGCGGGCGTGCGGGCGGGCGGGGAGTGCTGTGTCCTCTGTCGACTGAAACCGGTCACCCCCAAAATTGTTCCCTGAGAGCCTGGTATAGATCCTCTTGCCATACTACAACCAAATTATCCTGAGTGTGATGGCAAAAACGGCTATATTGGGCCAGAGTCCTCCTGGTTTACAAAATCTCAGCGGCCAACACTTCGAGCTACCTCGGTAGCTCAAAAAGCACGACCAGCCCCAGGCTAAGAAGACCTCTAAATAACAGCATACATAGAAAGGACCGGTAAAATTTCAGGACGAAGTGGTGTGATTATTCTGCAGTCTTTATTTTGGGATATCAAACAGTAATCGTGGAAGCCCAGTAAGTGTGGCTCTAAGGGGGAATGCCTTCGTCTCTGCTACAGCTTGATCTCCGGTATATGATTCATTCCTTTACCAGCTGGTATCTTGGAGATATAGATCAATCTACAAAGTTTACAGTCAAGTGAAGTCTTCTGAAGACCTAAGTTCACGTCTTGTTCACCGTGAGGCCTTTGTGAATCAATTACATTTCCGTTTGGGAGTGTATACCAGCCAGCCTAGTCCATGAATCAATGACGAGATCTTCGCCATCCTTTTGTGTTCCCGATGGACCGATGGGAGCTGGGATACACAACTTCTACCATCGCCGTGGAATTTACACACATCATGTGCATATATCTGCAGAGCAATGCAAGCTTGTGCAAAACACTTCGTGACTTCCTTACTGAACCCGTGCTTTGCAGTGCGCGCTTTGTTGAGCACCTTCCTGAGAGATGGGGTACTGCGGCCTGACCTGTATCTTCCTTCCGCATTTGCAGGTCGATTGCAGGTCGTTTCCAGTCCAGAGAAGGAAACCGCGATACTCACTGCCAGAAGTCAAAACATTTGTGCCTTCAGTCTGCCCCGTCTCTGCCTCTCTCTCCTCCTTTGAATTCTGCAAGACGCATGCTAATCTCCCATTCCAACGCGCAAAATTAAATTCAAAGACCGTTTCTTTCACAATGGCATTCGTCGACATCTTCCCGCATCTCGGCTCTGCCGGTTCGCTTCTCTCTGGACTTGAAGTCCTTGCTCGCTTTTACGCCTGGCTCTGGGCTAAACTTTTCGGAAAACCTCAGGAGAGCACCCCTGAAGGCTTTGTGGCGCGCCCCTCCGCCAACTGGGCTGACTTGCCCAATCTTCTTCTTGCTATACTAAAAGTCTTGTCGGAGATCAACGGTCGCGCTTGTTCGATCAAAGAAGACGTAGACTATTGTGGTCAATGGCTCGAGTTCATTGCTGAAGAAAGGCTCAAAGAGAGATTTGAAGACGCCGGCCTGGAATGGGATGGTCCCCTCTTCAATCCTGACCCAGAAGATAGGCGAGCCGACCTGCCTCCTTCTGAAGAGTCCTAGCATTGCACATTGCTAGAGGCTGTGCCTCGGCGTTCTCGACTCGCAGTTGCATCATCGTCTTACCCGCGCCGGGTGGAGGATGGTCATGGTGAACCCTGCTTTAGGGCACTCCCATGGCTCCCTAGCGACGGGACTGCATCTTGACGCGATGCTAGGGCTCAGTGACCCTCTGGCACTGCTAAGACAGTCCCTGGGTCTTCTTTTCGCCAATGATGTAAGTCAGCCCGCGCCAGATTTCCCAAGTGTCAGGCCGTCACTGATTCGCTTTTGCTGTGTGTCGGCGCTGCAACTACTTAGAGACTCGATAATTTCCATCTGGAAACCCCATTCTGGCCTGTCTGTCTTGCCAACTATGTCGCTATCTCACTGCTTGGTGCAATCAAGGTTCTCTGTTCCGTGAGTACGAAGACGAGGAACAACCAGTACCCAGGAACAATTTCCTGCCTCGCTTCAAGTTCATGCTGCTTCCTGAGGTACATTCCAAGTAAGTGGCTACTTCTATTGGTAGGTATCTCGTACGTACGAATAAGAGGTAGCAAGCGTGTATTGGTGTTGTTCTGTCTAAGTTTTGAAGGGTGCTGCGGCGCCCGTAGGAGTAGCTAGGTACGTATGGTGTGGTGCGATGGTCGTAGGAACGACTTCACATGCGTTGGTTGAGAGGCTTTCCTGGAAGTTCAGACAGTAGGCCTTGAAGGTTTGGCCGCTGTTCTCTCCTCCAAATCATACTCTTCTCTTATTATCTCCGTGAAGTACCTTATGCTAATTTGCAGGCAAACGTTGTACTCCAGGGGGATTTCCAGCACCAGTTCAAATGAGGACTAGGGTGTTGCAGTGGCACGGAGAGTTAGGGTTAGAGCATTCAAATAGCTATCCGACCCCCATAGACTTGGCCTTCTCTCTTAGACAGAACACACCCCCCGAATAAAGTCTCTATTGCACCAACATAGGGATTCAAACCCAATCCCAGCGAGCCTGTACAGACCCTGGCGCATAAGGTCCATCCTTGGATCGCTTTCCGATTAGTGATGCATCCATATTCTCCACACACATATCTTGAAGCGGAGTCGCATACGTAAGCCATTTCCAATCGAATTGCGAACGGCAAGGGCCTAGCTGATGGTACGCAGTGATAACGACCCATGGCTCTGACGTTGTTGTCAGTTCGCTGACGTTGCTGATAACATAGTCTGTCAAGCAGACTGGGCAGGACCTTCGCGCGTCCCGGCACTCCGCGAGGGCAAACCAATTCTCTGGGTGTTGCCCAGGTCCTAGTTCAGGAACCCTTCTTCGTTGCGGCACAGCGTAAAGACCCCGGCCGCATTCCAAAAGCCACTGATGATAAGTAAGCCCCGGTCTTCGCCTGCGTGAGGTATTAAAACGTGTTCTTGGTTGGTGCGTCGTAACGTGGTTACAAATTCCATGGTTTGTATGCTCCAGCTTTTGGCGGTTTTCCGGGCCTGTTCCATTAAGGGAGAGTTTATGCAATACGCAAAGATAAAAGCTCATTTTGAATAACTCTTGCTTTGAAACTAAGGTTCCAGCCGCTAAAGTAGTCAGGCAGACTACTATAGTGAAGTTGTTCTAGGTTTAATCCTCCACCTAAGAGATGTTTATTCATAACAAGGCGTGCCAAGTTGAAGCCAAGGTAGTAACCATCGCGTATCATGAGCTTCGGCCGGCAGGGGTCATTGAAACGATCTCCTTGTCCTGGTTTCCATGATAAAGAGAAGTGATGAAGAATGTGGCAGGGCTGACAGAAGAAGAGCTGCTTGCAAAGGTCTCGCTCTAATAGCTGAAGTAGCTGGTCTAGCTGGCTCCCGTGTAGTTTGCCTTTTGGGAATAGAATGCAAAATAAGGAAGTACAGGTGAGTCCAAAAGTAACTGATGATTCTGCCGGAAGAAAATTTGAGATTTCGAGTAGTAGTTCCGTGGGTAGTTGGAGGAGCAATGACTGTGCCTGAGAGCTGCGCCTTGGGTGGCACCCGAGGAGACGCCTTCTTGTGGAGTTTAGCAAGGCAAAAGCTCCGTAAGCTTTTGAAGAGAGTCGGTTGAAAAAGGACGGCTGTACCAAAAAGGTTAGGGGAGAGGCTCGAAAAGTACTCATTGCCATGAAATGCCGTTTTCTTCCTATTCGCACTGATTTTGCAGGTAAGGTATGAAGACTCCAGATCTCCAAGGTTGAAAGGAGGTTGGAAGGCAGTCGCGGAGTTAGGTATAGAGGAGAAGATGTAGTAATGAAAGTTTGAATAAATAGATCTGGGAAAAAATGATGCAGATACATTTTATATGGGATTATGGTGCTTGTGCTGGAAAGGAATTTGGACAGACTTGTGGCAGCCGCACAGACGTGGCTACTCGAGACCAGCTTCTAGCGGCGCCATAGACCGTCACCAACTGTTATACCACTTGTGACGATACGGCTCTTATCCCTACTTGGGGTTTAAGTTGGCAGGACTAGATTTTCAGTCTTTTGGCCGGGGCGTCTAGTACACGGGCAATTACTGGATCCGTCTTATCAGAAGCTTCGCTTGAGTGTCCGCTACGCGTCCATAGTATCCAACCCCCTCACCAAGTTCCAAGGTTCCCATACAACAGTTCCTATAGGATGAACTTCTATTAAATGAGCTCTGAAAAGAAAGCCTCGTATAGAATAAGCTCGCATATATTGGCATCCTGTAGGATACTTTCCTATATGGCACCCTCTTTTAAGCTACGACCAGGTACCGGTTGGGACCTACGAGGCTGGCAGTGCGGCACGGCTGACAAATCAATCACGAAAGCAACAACACCGACAGCATCACAGATATTATTACAATCATTGTGAGTAACGCATATGGGCTGACTCAATCCTCACCTCGGTTATCTAGCCTGCAGTCTGGTTGAATAGTCTCAGGATCCGGGCTACTAGCATGCTAGCCTGGAGTCTGGTTAAATAGTCTCAGGATCCGGGCTGCTGGCATATCCCGATACAGGGTGTCTTTGTGCGCCGGGCAAATTTAAATGAGCTAAGCCTCACTCAGGAAAGCTCTTCTTAGGTTCACGCCCTCTTACGGTAAGCGCAGTCAAACTCTGACCTCACAACTATTCCAGAATCAGGGGCAGGTCAACTCGAGGGACGAATATTTGGGTAGGTACCTGGTGTGTGCTCTAGGTGCCTTCCAGGTCCTTCTAGCGAGCGCGGGGTCAGGAGAGGCAGAGGTCGGAGCTCCAGCTAAATCACCCACCACCGAAAACCACATGCCATGACATCATCGGTCTATCCCTGTCTAGCACCGTTTCCCTAAACTAGGACACCGCGAACGAACGCATCCACTCCGAGTCCATTCGAATGTCTAGCCTTGGCTTGTTGGCAGCGTCTGGACCCGAGAGACGAAACGCACAGGCGGCGCGGGTGCTGGAACAAAGAACACTGATTTGGCACACCGCTGTCTGTCTTAAACGAAGTGATGCCCCCCCCCTATCGTTTTGGTTAGCTATCCCCCCCCGCATTAAAATTTGGCTGTAAACGCGGAATATGCACTAAGATTCTTATGAATACCCTTATTAACATTACTACGCACCCAATTTAGCAAAAGAAAGGTTATTACAACCCTATTTTGTGTATATCTTTAGAATGATTAGGAGTAGCAGAATTAACTTAAGCCCGTTATATTAAGGGGCATACGCTTTATTGGCCTTAGCTTAAGGTAATTATAGCCTATTTAAATTAACAAGTAACTTATTTTAATGGCCCTTGAGAAGCAAAAGCTTAGCTATTGCAATTATATACCTATTTGCAATGCTAAGTTGTTCATTTTGCTAATGAGGCATATATTAATTAATTAATGGCGTTATTATGCATAAAGAAGCTAATGGCGAAGGCAAAGGCTGCTACTGCTATAAAACAGAAGCTAGTGTGGTGCAGGCAGGGGCGTTTGGCCCTTAAGGGCCTTAAATAGGCAATTTTTAGCTCCAGAGGTAAACTTAAACTTATTTAAGCAATATATACCCTAAATCCCCTAAATTACTTATATTATTTATAATGTAATATATCTTTTTATATAAGTTAAAGAGTTTTATAAAGATTTTATTAAAACTTGTATTAAGAAAGCCTATCCTTTAATTTAAATCTTAAAATTAAAGTTAAGCATAAGCTAAATAGCTTATATAGCGAAAATAAATTAATTAAGCTCTTAAGTTTAAATAAAGTTAAAGCTTATATTATTAAAATAGCATTGCGTTAAGCTTATGCCATTATATTAATTAAATCATTAAATTCCTTAAATTTGCTTGCCTTACTTTCTTTATTTCTATATATCTTTAAGCTAAGATAGCAAAGTTTTGCTTAGCTAAGTATATACCCTTCCCTTAAGCAATAAATTTAAATCCTAAAACTATAATTTAAGGGATAAATTAATAAACTAATTATGCTTGCTATATGCCTTAATTTATAACTTTCTTAAGGATTTTATTGCCTTATTAATGCTAAAGGCAAAGCAGTTTATATTAATAAAGGAGTATAAAGTATATTAAAAAGCCTTATTAAGGTTTAAGATATTATTAAGGGGATAAATGAAAATTAATAACCTAAACTTTAAATTATTATTACTAAACTTAAATTTAAAACTTAAAAACCTTATTTTAAAGCTTACTTTTTTATTATTATAAGAAGAACTTTAAAATTATTTAAACTTAAATAATTCCTTTTTTAGCTATTTAATATTAAATTATAATAGCTTGCTTAAATTTAAAACCCTTTTATTATATTTAATAAAACCCTTAAACTATTTCATTATATTTCTTTCTTTTATTAATATCTTTTTAAAATTTTTAAGAAAAAGCTTAAAGGAATATATTAATAATATAAAGTTATATAATATAAGGATAATATTTAATAATAAAACCCTTAAGGTTTAAGAAATAAGGGCAGCTTTTTATTTTAAGTTAAAGGATGTAATTAAAATTAATTAATACTTAAAACTTACTTTAAATAAATAAGCTTAGCTTAAAGTTTTTACTCT